ATGGAGATCAATAATGTAAATATATATATTTAAAATCAGTAAACAAAAACTTTGACAATAATAATTATCTCAAGAAAATTTGTAAGTGATTTTTAATAACATTTAAACAGTAAAGATGGTAAGAAATACAAGTCATAATAATCTCATTGACATTAATGAGATTATTAATGCTTAAGACCATTCAATAAACACTGAATCTTGCAGAGCACCAGGTAGTGTGGGATATACAAATAAGGAGGACACAGTCCCTGATCTTTAGGCCTATAAACTAGTTAGCAAGCAGTAAAATACAGATATATACAGAGAAGTCAAATTTCTATCTACACCTCAAATCAATCTGTTTTTCTCCACCTCCACCATCTCTGTAACCCCTCCTAAATGACCTCTTGCATTCACCTAATTCTATCCCAATCTAGTCACTATACTGAAGCTACAGTAACCTTTTTGAAATGCAAGAGGACAAGAGATTCATTCTTCGGAGAAAAAGACTCTAGATTTAGAAACACCAGGTATAGGGCTAAAAGAGGGGAGTTATGTGAAAGCCTGCACTGAACAATGAAAGCCCAGCAGCCTTCACCTAACCTGCTTCTATAACTGAAAAATAGTACTTACTTGCCCTATGGGGATTATGAGGATTCTTCTTTAGAAAACTAAACTAAAACAGCCTCTAGATACTGATATTTGGAGGTTCCTCCAAGGAAAATACCAGCCTGCCAAAGAGCCTTTAAGTAAAATCTACCAGCAGACAAGCAATTGGCTGTTTAGTGTCTCAGAAGTGCATAAGTTATTATATTCAAAGACAAAATGCTATGAAAAAAAGAAAACAAGAAAAAGCTCTTGGAAATTAAATACAATAATAGAAATAAAGAATTCTGTAGAAAGAATTGAAGATAAAGTTGAGGAAGTCTCCCAGAAAGTAGAAGAGAAAATTAAACAAGCAATCCAAGAGTCCTAACATCCAATAGAACAGGAATCAGCAAACTTGCAGCAAAGGGCCAGACAGTAAATAGTTTAGGCTTTGCAGGCCATATGGTCTCTGTTGCAACCACTCAACTCTGCTGCTGGAGTGTGAAAGCAGCCAAAGACAATGTGTACACAAATGGGGCAGATAGCAGGCCAGATTTGGCCTGTGAGCCAGTTTGCTGACTCTTGCAATAAAAGATTAAAAAAGGGAAAAAAAGAACAAAGAGAAAACACAGAGGAATAAACTATGAAATAAATAACTTAAGAAAAATTCCCAGAACTAAACAACATGAGTTCTTAAGGTCGAACACAAAAAGCACATAATCATACTTCAAAATACCAGGGATAAACAGATTGGAAAAAAAAAAAAAAAGGTCCTAAACAAAGACTGGGAAATCAGATGATATCAGCATTTTAAAAAAAATTATTTTTCAATTACAGTTTACATTCAACATTATCTTGTATTAGTTTTAGGTATATAGCATATTAGTTAAGATAATCATATACTTTACAAAGTGCTTTCAGTAATCACCTGACACCATACATAGCTGTTTCAATATTATTCACTATATTCCCTATGCTGTACTTTACATCCCTGTAACTATTTTGTAACTGCTAATTTATACTTCTTAATTCTTCACCTTTTTCACCCAGTCCCCCAATCACCCTCTCTCCTGGCAACTATCAGTATGTTTTCTGTATGTATATATGTCTGGGTTTTTTTTCTTTTTTAAGTTGAATTTACTGGGGTGACATTGGTTAATAAAATTATGTTTCAGATGCACAATTCTATAATACATTACCTGTATATTGTTTGTGTGTTCACCAACCCAAGTCAAGCCTCCTTCCATCACCATTTATCCCCCACTTTACTCTCTTCTAACTCCCCCAACCCCCTTTCTCTCTATATAAGTCAGTTTCAATTTTGTTTGTTCATTTATTTAGTTTTTAGATTCCACATTAAGTGAAATCATACAGTATTTGTCTTTCTCTGACTTATTTCTCTTAGCATAATACCCTCTGGGTCCATCCATACTATCACAAATGGTTAAGATTTCATTATTTTTTATGGTCGAGTAATACTCCATTGTATGTATGTACCACTTCATTTTTATCCACTTGTCTATTGATGGGTACCTAGGTTGCTTCCATATCTTGGCTATTGTAAATAATGCTGCAGTGAATACAGCAGTGCATATGTTCTTTCAAATTAGTGTTTTGGGTTTATTCCCAGTAGTGAAATCACTGGGTCATAAGGCAGTTCCATTTTTAATTTTTTGAGGACTTTCTATACTGTTTTTCATAGTGGCTGCACCAATCTGCATTCCCACCAACAGTGCACAAGGGTTCCCTTTTCTCCACATCCTTGCCAGCACTTGTTTTTTGATTTACTGATGATGGCCATTCTGACAGGTAGAGATGATATGTCATTGTGGTTTTAATTTGCATTTCTCTGATTAGTGATGTTGAGGATCTTTTCATATGTCTATTGGCCATCTGTAGATCCTCTTTGGAGAAGTGTCTATTCAGGTCCTCTGCCCACTTTTTAATCACTGTTTGGTTTTTGGTGCTGACCTGTATGAGTTCTTTATAAATTTTAGACATTAATCGCTTATCAGATGTATCATTGGCAAATATTCTCTCCCATTCAGCAGGTTGCCTTTTTGTTTTGTTGATGGTTTCCTTTGTTGTGCAAAAACTTTTCAGTTTGATGTAGTCCCATTTGTTTTTTTCTTTTGTTTCCTCTGCCTTAGGAGATATATCAGATATATAAAAAAATATTGCTAGGAAGAAATGTCAGAGATTTTACTGCCTATTTTGCTTCTAGGAGTTTCCTGGTTTTAAGTCTTACATTTAAGTCTTTAATCTATTTTGAGTTTATTTTTTTATATGGTGTAAGAATGTTGTCTAGTTTAATTTTTTTTTTTTTTTTGCATGTATCTGTCCAAGTTTCCCAATACCATTTATTGAATAGGCTGTCTTAATCCCATTTTATGTTCTGGCTGCCTTTGTCAAATATTAATTGACTATATAGGTGTGGGCTTATTTCTGGGCTCTCTATTCTGTTCCATTGATCTATATATCTGTTTTTGTGCCAGCACCATGCTATTTTGATTACTATAGCCTTGCAGTATGATACAAACATTTTAAAAAGCAACAGTAAACTAGAAAGCCTACACCTTCATAATTAAAAGAGAATTATATATCTATTGAAATTAGCAATCACACATGAGAGAAGAAGATATTTTTCACTCATATAATAACTTAAAATTTTACCACCAAGGTTCCCTTATTTACAGAGCTACTGAAAGATGTACTCCAACAAAACACTGGGGTAAACCAAAAATGAGGAAGACATGATATTAAGGAAAACAGGGACCCAACATAGAGGAGCAGCTCAGGAAGTTCCAGCGAGCCTAGAAAGTGAGTCCAGATTGAAACTGGGGGAAGAAAGGCTTCAGAAGACAGTCTTCAGGCTAAAGAACAGAAATGATGTACTTAAACATATGAAAAATATTACTGATAGCATATGGCAGAGATGTGCTGCAGCATTTAGAAAAAACTACAAATATACAGAAAGTTAGGCAATTTAAAAAATGAGGCAATTATTAACTTAAAAAAGAGTATGTACTATATTTTGCTAATTTGGCTTAGCAAGAAACTATATCTTCATAATCAAATAATGAGATACTAATAACTAATTTAACCAAAAGTTACATGTAATTATGTAAGGGGGAGGGAAGTAAAGAGCAAGGTGAAAAGCTAGGTCTCCACCTATTTCGGCAAGAAGTGAAGCGATCATGCCTAAACCTGATTAAGAAATACCAATCTACACACGGTATTTAGAAATAAAGAGTTAAAAACCAGGAAAAATGACCCAAAGGATTAAAAGTAGTTTCTCTCATGGACACAAACAGCAGTGTGGTGGATGCCAGAGGGAAAAGGGTGGGGAAGTGAAAGGGGTCTTAATATATGGTGACAGAACATATGACTTTGAGTGATGGGCACACAGAGCAATATACAGATCTTGTAACATAGAAACCCACACCTGAAACCTATATGTTCATATTAACCATGCTCACCCCAATAAATTTAATAAAAAAGAAAGAAAAAAGAAAAAAAAAGTGGTTTCTTCCAAGTAGGACTTGGAGATGGATAGGGGTAGGGTTTTATAAGCCTTTTATTTTATTTGTCTTTTAACTATGTAAATATATTATTTAAAAAAATTAATTTAAAATAATTAAAATTTGTTTTATTTTTAAAATATGTTTTTATTGATTTCAGAGAGAGGAAGAGAGAGGGAGAGAGAGATTGAAACATCAATGATGAAAACCACTGATCAGCTGCCTCCTGCACGTTCCTTATTGGGAATAGAGCCCGAAACCCGGGCATGTGCCCTGGCTGGGAATTGAACTGTGACCACCTGGTTCATAGGTCGATGCTCAACCACTGAGCCATGCTGGCTGGGCAAAATTTATTTATTAAAAAGCCAATAACTAGCAAATAATAATTATAACACTACATTAATTCAACAGTATTACAGAGAGAAGGGCATTATCTTCAAATTATAAGAAACTCTTACAAAAGACAACAACATAGTATGATATGTGCAAGGGTCATGAACAGGCAATTTACAAAAGAAATACTACCATCCAAGAAGTATACGAAAAAACCTTTCACACTTCAAAGCAGTAAAAGGAAAATTACAGATTAACACCAAAAAAAATGCAACATTATTTTAATCTACTAATTAGCAAAAACTCAAGAAATGGGTAATATTAATGTTGATAAGGTTTTTTTGAAAATGCCATGACTGTGAGAATGTACACTGATATATCATTTCTGAAGGAAATTTTGGTAATATGAACTAAAATCCTAAAAATATTTATGACATTTCATTCAGTAATTCCTGGTAAAAATAAATCCTTAAGGAAATAATTATATATGTGCATAAAAGAATTCAGCTACAAGGGTATTCATTTTAGTAAAATTTTAAGTCTGTCTTGTTCATGTTGATTTACTAAAAATAGCCTTACCTGAACTGTACGTCCCGCGTTGATATGCTCTTCGTGCAACTTGTCCCACATTCTGCATCTCTGATACTACACAAAAGAGAGGGGAAAGGTACTTTTTTTTTTTTTAATCATTAAAATGACTATTTCTAGTTACCACAAAAAACCCTAGACACCTACCCAAACTTAAACATATTAGCTAAAAATGTTATTGACTTAGTAATGGCAATTAACTATCCAAAGACCATACAAGTACGAAGGTTTCAAAAATATTACATATCCTGGCAAATGGTAAAACAAACAAAAATCACTAGGTACTATTTATTTTATTGAAAGAGACTATGAACTTTGTCTTTTTTTAATCTCCAAAGAGTTTACAATATGAAGAATGAGAATTTTTGTTGTTGTTGTTGTTAGTTCTCACCCAAGGATATTTTTTCCATTGATTTTTAGAGTGTGGAAGGGGGGGGCAGAGAGAGAGAGAAAACTGAGAGAGAGACTATTGAGAGAGAGAAAAAAAAAAAAACAGAAAAAATATGGTTCTGGTTATTTCATCTTAGCTAGAATGTGAGAGCTGGAGCTGGAGCTGTTATTTCACATGCAAGATAGGAACAAATTGTCCCGACCGGTGTGGCTCCGTTGGTTAGAGTGTCCTCCAGTACACCAAAGGTTGGGGGGTTTGATTCCTGGTCAGGGCACATACCCAGGTTGCAAGTCCAATCCGCGGTTGGGGTGCGTGCAGGAGGCAACCAATTGGTGTTTTTCTCTTACATCAATGTTTCTCTCTGTCTCCCCTTCCCTCCCTTCTCTCTCTCTCTTCCTCTTCCTCTCGCTCTAAAAAAAAAAAAAAATCAATTAAAAAAAAAGAAACAAGTTGAGGATCAAACAGCAAGTTAAAAAGAGCCCAGGTCTTTAATGACTTTTGAGCTGCCACTGTAGCCCTAGACTCTCTCCGTAACTATGAGATTAAAAATTGCCCTGGCCAGTGTAGCTCAGTGGTTAAAGCATTGGCCCACGCACTGAAGGGTCTTGGGTTCAATTTCTGGTCAAGGGCATGTACCCAGGTTGCAGGTTCCTGTTCCCCACCTGAGTTGGGATGCATGTGGGAGGCAAACAATTGATGTGGCTCTCTCACATCGATGTTTCTCTCTCCTCTCTCTCTCTCCCCCTAAGCCCTCTCTTCCACTTTCTTTAGAATCAATGGAAAAATTATCCTTGGGTGAGGGTTAACAAAAATAATAATAATAAAAAAATAAAAATAAAAACCAAAACAAAAACCTCTTCTGTCTTATTTCTGCCTCTTGCACTCTAACCACATACTAATTAATACAGTACATGCTACACAATAAGTTTTCCCTCAACCCCCTAAAATATGAAACAAAAAAAATTATGTTCCATGCTTACTATCTTGTTGTTCCCATTAACTATGCTTAAATCTATCTTACATTAGCTAAAAAAAGTGAATGCTAATACAAATTTCAGAACTACATTCTAATCAAGGCCATCGCGTATAATAAAATGTAATGCTGAAGGACCTATGGAATATAGTCCCAGGTGTCCACAGCACACTACTCTCATTGTTTTTGGATATTGCAGAATCACTCCATTAAGGCTTACCTTCAATTTCCCTTCAGTCTGACTTTCTTCTTTTAAATTCATATTGGATGACTGATGGCTAGCATAATAAATATTTTATCTTTCTACACTCTTCCCCCAGGAAGAATATGCCTTTTTGAAAGTGAGGCACCTTTACACACCTGAAGTCCAAAACTAGTTCTTAACTCTTTTGTCCACAGTGAACACTGCTGCTTTTAAACATTTTTACATTGCCATAAACTATCTATCAAAATATGCTATTCAATCTTACATAGATACAAAATCACTTTCATAACTAAATTAAAAATCCTAGAGACAGCAGAATGATCCAGAATATGGTATAAAACATAGATCAGTATGAGTTTAACTGCTTAGCTCAGACATCACCTATATTGTAAGTTATAATTATTCTGATACTGTCTAACATTTTCACAGTAAGTAAAAATTTTACAAAAAGTTAAAGAAAAACTGTTCTGGCAAAGAAAGATCAATATAACTCTAGAATAATTTTCTTATGAAGTCTGGTACAATTAATCAAGTCAGTAATAGACCCATTCCTATCCCAACCCACCTTTCTCTCAGGGTTCTTTTCTACTGATGTCTGGACGGTACATGTGGTTAAGTTCTGAGGGTAATGACAGTAGGCACTTTCATATGGAATAAATAGAAGAAAAAGGAAATCTAAAACATGCCAAACCTCAAATGTAAAAAGGACAATAAAAAGTGGTCTCAGTAGACCATAGTCTACTTACTTCTGCCTTTCATAATCAATTCTACCACATTCTACTCATCTTTATAACCAAGCAGTTCAGAATGAGCTCATGAATTTGAAACGAACCTTATTAAACTTCCCACCTGATATGATTAATCAAAAGTAAACAACTCTATTTCTATACTGTTATAGTACTAAAAGAATGAGCCTTCCTCATTTATCAAAGCATGGAACCCTTTAATTTGTTTCTGCTCCTGACCAGAATAACCAGCTTCCTGGACAACTCCCCCATCCTTAAAAGTCATAGTACTGCCCTGGCTGGGTGACTCAGCTGGTTGCAGTGTCATCCCGTGCACCAAAAAGCTTATGAGTTCAGTTCTCTCTCAGGTCACATACCTACATTGTGGGTTTGATCCCCAGTTGAGGCACATACTGGAGGTAACCAATCGATGTTTCTCTCTCACACAGATGTCTCTCTCTCTCTCTCAAATCAATAAACATATCCTTGAAGATTTTTTTAAAAAGTCATAGTACTTATTGCTTATGGATAAAGAAATTAAGGGATGACAAAATATTAATCTTGAATTTTAGATACCTTCACACTTGTTTTTCGGGGTCTTTTTCTTGTTGACACTATTACAGGTGTCCCGCATTTTCCTCCCCTTTGTTCCCCTCCACCCAGCCTCTGCCCCTACCAGGCCTTCACCCCATTATATACCTTCATACTTGTACAGAAATTTTCATCATAATATTCTTGGCACTTATTTTTTATACTTTTAAAAAATAGTTAAATACTAGGAAGACAGGTGGTATCTATGGAAGAGAAAGTTTACACTCTTATAACTTGTATAAGGTAGTCAGTTGAGGGAGATAGATACTGTTTATAAAGAAAGGCTTTAATGACCACTTCTATGCCCACTACCCTCCCCACCACCAAATCAATGGAGGGCCACTCAGCTTAAAATTTATACTGGGGGAGGTTCTTTTGAAAGAGCAAATACCACTGACCTATCCCACAGCACAGAAGGCAATATAACCTATCAAAATCAATGCTCAGTGCTCAATAAATCTGATGTTCCCATAAATGCCACAATCATTCCACCAGACCACAGCCAGTCCAGGTTCTAAGCAATCTCCATCCACCATAGTCCCAGAGACTAGTTCTTCTTTCTACCTATCTCCTAAACTGACCTCTAGGCAATATTTCTGAATTTTGGGCTTTCCTCAAAGCAGTGAACTTGGGAAATTCCCTCATATCACATAATGATTTGCCCCTTTATTCTACATGCACCTGAAGAGATTAGGAGTTACTGATACACACTCAAGATTCAAAAAACTTGCCATGGGGTAAATGAAATTAAGGTAGGCCCGTCCCTTAGCCAAAGTTTGCAGTTTTCATATTTTAGTTCACTTCAATTATTAACTGCTTAATACATCAGTATGTACAACTAAAAAGATGCAGATCCCATTCTTATATCCCTTCCTAAAAAAGGAATAATATGAGAGGTGTATTTGCAAAACAACAACAACAACAAAAACCAGATTAAAGAATAAATACCGTTGTTAAATCAACAGAAACTAGATATTTTAGCAAAGCTTATTTAATATTCTGAATTTAGCTAAAATGTACAATAAATAGAAATCAGAATATGTAACCATTTTTTTGTGGTAGAAAATGGAAAAACTTACCTTCTCAATATTTATCTGGTGCTTTCTTAACCTCTCCAGGTCCGTTGGGATTACTACTTTAATGAATTTTTGGATAGCTGGTTCAAGACGGCGTAATTTCACTTTTTCTTCATCTTCAGACATCCTAAAAAATGTTATGTCACTTCTACTTGCAACAACTGTCTTCTCTACTCATATAGAAAAACCTAAAAGGGAAATATTTATTTAAGAATGTTTTTAAGTGAGTTCCTATTATTTTTATAAGCCAACTATTAGGTAATTTTATAATTTATTCTAAATACATATTCAAGTTAATGCTGAATTTCAGTGACTTTTAAAGAAACCTTTTATTTTAAAATGTATTTCTCTGTTCAAAAGTAATGTTATATACCCTCAATATACTAATGCTATATTCCCTTTAGAATGCTTAGAAAAATATAAAAAAGAATAAAATAAAATCAACAATCACCTGCTCACCCATCATAGTTAACTACTCTTTCCATTTTTTTCTCCCATCCCCTACTCCTACTCCCATTTTGATATAGATATATATGTGTATATATATATATCTATACACACACACACATATATACATATATGAGTGTGTGTGCACGTGCACATGTAAATACCTTTTTTAAGAACTAGGAGTATACTGCCCAAGTTTTCATGGCCCAGTGTATCTTGGACACTGAATAACTTTTTTTAAAAAGGTGTCAAATGGTAAAATTGGAAGAAAAAATTTCATTCTTAATATTTCTGCTTGTATCAAACTTAATTTCTAATGTCATAATAATGTATCTATGTAATGATAAATATATTTAAAGTATATATATAAATGATATATATATGTAACTATGTAAAGTATTATATATAACATAGTATGCACCTCTTCTCATCCATGAGGCAATTTAAATTGCCTCTTCCCTTTCTTACAAAGCAGTTAGCATTGTTTACAACCAATACAAAAAATTAGTGACACAGCTAGAATAAGAACCCAGGATTCCTTAGCATACATTCAAATGCTCTTTCTAATTCACCAGGAGTTTTCTGCAAGTGTTCCAGAAAGTCTGAGGATATGCCTTTGAGGCAGGGTAGGAGAGAGTAGGGATTGGCAAGTGAGCAGGCTCCGGGACCCCATACTTGCTCCAATTGGAGAAAATTCACTTGTCTATTTCATAAACTTGAGTTTACTATATTTTAACCAAGCTTAAAAACCACTGTTTTGCACCACGGTTCCATGCCATCTCACTAGCCACAACCTCTTCCATATTAAAAATAATAATAATTGACCATATTAATCCCATTGGGTTATTATGTCTTAGACAGGATCCATAAAGACAGAGGTTCACAAAAAAGATTCTGTGGAATCACTAATTCTTTATGAAAATTTGTGTATGTATTTTGAGTTCTTTTAAAGGACAGAGTCCCTTGCTTTCATGAGACTATCAGAGAGATCTATCACTTCAGAAACACTGAGCTATTATTCTAAATAATGTTCTGTTTCTCTTTTACAGTTGAAAATTTTGAAGTGTTGGTATACAGGCTATCTTATTTACTTCTAATTTGGATTTTATGTTTGATCTGAGCTCAAAAACAAAAAAAGGAAAATCTCTAGACACCAAAAATGAGTCCTACAGTAGTGAGTGGGAACTGGAGACACATGGAGAAATTACCTGCCAAAATAGTTAGTCCTCAGACCCAACAAAACAGAAAAATTCACTAACAGACTAGAGATAATGAAGCAATCTAAAAAGAAAATTAAATTAGGTACATTTAAAAATATTCAAAGATATAAAGGAAGGAATAGAATCTTTTAAAATTAGATAATTTTATGAAACAGTAATAGGCCAATCTAAAAATAAACCTAAAAAGTCTACTTAAAAATTTTTACTCAAAAACCTCAAAAGATGGGTTAAATAGTACACCCTGTAGCTGAAGAGAGAATTATCGTTTGGGAGATATCAATCAGAACACAGAGGAATAAAGAGTACAAAATATAAAATTAAAATTAGAGACCTAAGGGATAAAACAAGAAGCTCAATAACAAGTAGTCCCATAAGGAAAGAATAAAGTGGTGAAAAGGCATTCATTATTCAAAAAGAACAAGCTGAGAATTAGGATGTAGGACCTCAAATTGAAAATGCACATAAGCCTTAAGTATAATAAATAGAAAAAAACAAATTTACCTGAACACATAGAAGGGAAATAGCAGAACATCAAGGACAAAGAGAAAAATCTTAAAAAGCAAACCAAAAATAAAAGACAGATAAAATAAACGAATAAAAGTAGCAAAGTTTTCATCAAAGCAAGATATCAAAAGACAGGAATATCTTCAAAGTGCTGAGGGAATTGGTATATACCCAAGGAAATTATTATTTAGAAGTGAAGGCAAAATAATAATTATCAGATATACAAAGACTGAATTTATTCCCAAGCCCATCATTAAAAGAACTACTAAACTGCATACTTTAACAATAAAGAAAATAAACTCAACAAAGTGGAACGGCAAAGATCAATCAATATAATAAAGTATACTGTTACTGGGTGAATAAATGAATGAAATGAACAAAGAAAATGATTTTGAATAAACTGATTACATATAATAAAAATGTTTCCATTTAAATTATTATTTTTCTACAATGCATCTTCTTTTAAATCCTCGCCAGAGGATATTTTTTTTAAAAAAATTGATTTTAGAGAGGAAGGGAGGGAGGGAGGGAGAGAAAGATGGAGGAAGAGCGAGGGAGGGACAGAGAGAGACATCAATGTGAGAGGGAAACATGGATTGGTTGCCTCCTGCATTCACCCTGACCAGGGGATCAAATCCAAAACCTGGGTATGTGCCCTGATTGGGAATCGAACCCACCACCCTTCAGTGTATGGTATGATACTCCAACCAAGCCACACTAGCTAGGGCTACAATGCATCTTTTTATAGCACATAGTATTACTCTGCATAGATGTTCCATAATTTAACTAATCATCTATTGTTGGCTATTTAGGTTGTTTCTAATTTTCCACCATTATAAGCTACGCCACACTGTAATTACCTCCTTACACATAAACCAAAATACCATCTACAATTATTTCTTTAAATTAAATACCTGGAAATAGAATGAGTAGGTATACAGATTTTTTAGGACTTTTGATATCAAATGTCCCAAAAAAGGTTGTGCCTATTTACATTCCCACTAGCAACACATCAAAATGTTAATTTACCCATACGCCAATATTTGGTATTATCATTCTTCTTAGACATTTGATGGTGACAGAAATGGCCCTCATTATTGTTTTATTTTTCAGGTCTTAAATTACTAATGGGATTGATTTATTGGCCATTTGCATTTCTTCTTTCATGAATTGCCAGCGCCTGTGAAATGTATGTTTTACTGCAAGGTATCTTTTTACTATATTTAACATATAATAGACTCAAATTATCAACTATTTGTCTAATGTTTCCCAGTTTATCACACTGCCTATTGTGTTTCCTTCTACTATGCAAAGTATATACTATAGGAATATATGTATAGCTTTTATATATGTGTGTGTATGCCAGGTACTAGAAGTAATGACACCCCAGCAGCAATGATCATACCTACTGCCTAAATCTTGGTGTTTAAATAACACTCTCCAAAAAAAAGAAACCAGGGGTCCTTGGAGAAGTGGGTGATTCCAGGGCTGGGGCAGGGAAAGCACAAGATAAGCCTGGAGCATCTTATGGTGCCAGAAAGTAAGGAAGTTCTCAAAAAAGGATAGAGGTTTGTCAAAAGGGCACAAGAAACTGAAAAAACTCCCAATGGCCAAAGCTGGAACAATTTGAGCCTAAAATAAACAGCAAAAGTGTAGGATAATAACCAACAGAAAAATAAACGAGTCCATACTGATACAAATAAATAACAATACATAAATGGGAAAAGGGGGTAGTTTTTCCTTACAGAAGAACTTAAATTAATAAATGAAGAAGTGAAGGAAACAGAAAGTCACCATCATAACATCACAGTACTAATTACCAAAGGCAAGATCCACCAAAGGCTGCAAAAGTCAGAGAGTGAAAGTTTGAGGAGAAACAGCATGTTTGCATAATTTACAAGTTATCTCCCAGGATGTCAATTGTTTACAAAGGGAAACATAGTAACTTTACATTATAGAATCCCAGCAGACACCACCTTAACTAAGCAATCAAAAGCATTATCAAATGCAGTGTGTCTGTCCTATCATGCACCCCCTCGAATGATTAACTGAGAAGGGCACGTGGTATCAACAAAATGCACAGCTTTAATCAAACAAATCATGAGAAAAATTCAGACAAAACCCAACTGAGGGGCACTCTACAAAATAACTGACCAGGATTCTTCTAAAGCATCAAGATCACAAAAGACAGAAAAAGACTGAATGGTCACAGACTGGAGGAGACCAAGGAGCCATGCCAACCAAATGCAATGTGGGATCTTAGATTGGCTCCTGGAACAGAGAAGGGTCACGAGTGTAAAAAAAATGATGACCTCTCAAGAAAACTAGTATAGTACTGGGCCTATGTTAACTTCTTACTTTTGATCACTGTACCAGTTATATTAGGTGTTAACATTAAAGGAAGCTGTAGAGGACTCTGTTACTACTTTTGTAGCTTTCCTGTATTTTTAAAATTATTTAAAAATAAAATCTTAAATTGACGTTTTACATAAGCAGGGCAAACATTTAGAAGTAAAAACCTGCAATCCTCTTCACCACACTAACACGGGGGAGGGTCCCCAGGCTCCGCAAACTTGACCATTCAGTGCCCACTACACTACCGTCGTGGGCTGAGGGCCGTAACACTCATGCTTCCCGGAGAAAAAAGTCCTGGTGGGTTAATTAAATTACTTCGGAGATTATTAAAAACCGAAAAACCCCATTTCTCAGTAATCAGCCAAAATCTCTGGAACACTGCCCCCCCGCAGGGTGACGACCCCCCCGCATTGGTGGCACCAAATTTCCTCGGGCACGCCGCCCGGTGTTTCTGGCCGGGGACGGGGGACTGGATTCGGGAAGTAAAATCAAGGCCTTTGGTCCTCCCAGATGGCCCCCTCCCGGGCTTCGGATTCCGAATTTAGAAAAGGAGCGCGTCAGACGCGGGGCCGTCCGGACCCACCTCCGGCCCGGCTGACGGGCGGCCGGCCCCGCGCTCCCGGCCTCCCCTCACTCCCCGGCCTCGCGGTGCC